GGCACGGGTCAGTTTACCACAACAATGGGTTATGGCAACTTGAAATACACAGACGACTAATATTCTGGTGCGGAAATCCACGTCGCAGTGAAGTCGTCTGAGAAGGGACAAACTACAAGTTAAACTGCCGTAATCTTTTACTTAAAAGATTTCGTCAGTGGCATTGGTATTACGTTGCTTAAGTTTAGGCTCCTTCGTTTTCAAGACATTTTTTGAAACCATGCCTCATGAAGCCAAAAAGCAGGAAAAAGAGGAAATCTCAAGGTCTACATTGTCAACATCTACATCTGCGCTTGACTCTCTCATTGTGGAAGTTTCTGAATCGTGTCCGTTCTACAACACTTTTGTGCGACTAGCACTTGTTGTATTTTGTCCTTTAGCTTCATTGGCGGGACTAGTGTATTCGAGTTCCTTCAACCATTCTTCTTGGTTACAGTGCGACCCACGGTTGCTCAGAGCCAAAGATCTTGTTCGACGCTGAACCTGTGGGTTCCACCAGATTTTCGCCTCTTCGGCCTCTTCAAAGACGAAAATGGGCAAGAATTTTTTGTCCTGACATAAAGAAAATTTGACAAGAACGAAAGCCAACTTGCCATGAAACAACCAGATCAGGAACAGTTCGCGTGCACAAATGAAATATCAGACCGCATTTTTTGTAAAAATCCACCTACCATGATACTTGAAGTTCAGACCACAAACTTGCAAAGCTCAACATCAAATACACCTACTTCGTTCAAAAACACAAACAAAGGTTTACAGTCTCTTTATTGTATAATAGGCATGGAAGTACATGTACCTTTTGATGCTTTGACCCTTTAAGATGGGCAGCAAATGCATCCGTCCCTGTACAAGTAACATCACAGAGTTCACATCGATAAGCATTTGAAGGTAGTGATTCTTTTTCCTTTTGCTTTGCAGCCTGTTCCTTCTTCTTGTGTTTTTGACCTTCTAAATGTTCTCTGTAAGTCTGAAAATTGAATTGAATTTCAAATTAATAGTTTTTCATTGAATTTCTTAGTATTGCTACCACTTTTCTTGCTGCAGTAATATGTCACGTAACATAGAAATCATTGTCATCTTTTACATTTGCTGCAGTGTAAATGAAAAGAAAAAAATAATAGCAAATGTTAAAGGCAGCAAGGAGACCTCCAAAACCCACCAGGCTTATAGTTGCTAATATAGGGTAAATTTCAAGTTTGCATGCACTGCATGACGAGTAACATGTTGCTGCCACTTGCAGAATGGTGGTAATGCATCTAACAACACTTTCCAACTTGCAATGCAACATTTTTACTGGCAAATTTGCAAGGAAAAATGTCGCCAATATTAGTTGGCCTGCATACTGCATTCTACAGTGAATAAAATATACAAGCTGAACCTGGTTTGGAATCTCACTCAAATTCAAACAAACCATAGTAACCTTGTAGAACTTTAATTTCACATATTTTAGCAGCTAGACGTGGTCAAAATTGAGAGCAAAATAAAGTTCATAAAATATTCAAATTGCAAAGAAAAAGATACAGGTACTAAACTGACAGAAAATTTAGGCCATAAGCGTCAATAGAGATTTAAAAAGATAACAATTTGACATTTTTCTACTTTGTCAAGATGAAATCAGAAAACACAGGTTGCAACTTTTATGTCCTTCAGTGACACACTGTACTGACAAACATTATGTAAGCTTTAAGTAGAATGTCAAAATTTAAAATATTTTGTTCCACTCACCTGAGGCCCAGCACAGCTTATCTTGCAAACATCACAGTAATGAAGCTGAGGCTGCTTAGGTGGTGGTTTTGGCTTCATCATAGGCTGTTTTTGCTGTCCGGCTCCAATCTTGTTCTTCCATCCTTGCCTTTGTGGTGCCTGTTGATGATGCTGCTGTTGAACAAAGGCCGCTGCAGCATTGTAAACAGCTGCTTCGTAAGCTTGGGGTTGATAATTTGCTGCATTCCCTGTCGAAGAACCGCCAAAACTGGATGTGTTGTAGGAGCTTGCTTGATAAGCGGTTGTTTGCGTGCGAGCGTTCGAGTACGGGTAAGCCACAGTCGAAGATTGCGAAGAGTACGCTTGGGTCGGATGTGTTTTAGCTATCACCGGCGTCGCACTCACAGAAGTCGGATAAACATTTGTCCCAGACGTTGGATAAGCGGCTTTGGTTGCCCCAGTGGTGTTCTGAGCGTAGTAAGCGCTTTGTCCACCTTGCACATTCGAGGACGGCTGTTGTGAATAGTAGGACGCCTTGGTTTCGTAAGCTTCTCTGTCGTAATACTGAGCGGAGCCGTGGTGAGCTTGATAAGCACCGTGAGTTGCTTGATAGGACGCATTTGCCGGTGGTGGTGGCGGTGGAGCATCTTGTTGTCTTGCCGTGTAGCCATAAGCACCTCCTTGAGCGGAAGATCCTTGCTGACCATAAGCGGTTGTACCAGCAGAATATGGCGCTTGAACAACTTGCCTCGGAGCCTGGTTTTGTGGCGGAACGTAGTGTCCCCCAGCCGGTGCAGAAGCTTGAACTCCGTAACCAGTAGTTCCTTGGGGTGTTCCGTAACTGGTTTGTATCGACGGATTTTGAGCTTGGGTAAAACCTTGGGAGTGTTGGCCGCCCGAAGAGTAGCCGTAATAATTGCTCGCGGCCATGTTGGGTGAAAGGGGAAGAAGGCACGTGTTCAGGACGTCAAACCGGCAAAGCGCAATGCGCAAACTGGACGCTACTTTCTTGAAAGCGAGGCTAATTGTAGGCACGCAATTCGTTCTCAGGGATTTGTTTTCAGTGAATAGACAGGAGCTCGGGGAATTATCCAGGGCGGAATGGACATTTTAAAGGGAACCTCGACTAAAAATAGTTTTGTTGTCAAATAATTTTTCATTCAGAGTTTGTGCGTGTAAAATGGCGCACGCAGTGACTTAAAAAGTCAGATCAAAAGCTGGGCAGTGAATGAGGAAATTTTTTCAATATAAACAGAATGCCAATAAAGCAGCAATAATAAAATTTCGTGTTACCTCAGACTAAAAACCTTATTAATGCGTAATCACGCAAAAGTCTAAGGAAAAGGTCAGCAATTATAAATGATTTGATGATTTTGGATGCAGCGTGGCCGAGTAGTTAGGGCGCCGGACTCAAAATCCGCAGGTCACGAGTTCAAGTCCCGCTCTGACCACTTAGCTAGAGTTGTTTCTCGGTAGACCGTAGTTCAACTCCTCGGTCATGCTTGTAAATAGCCAACTGGTCTGCCTCCCGCCGGTTGGGATTTTTAAGCCTATACATTTAGTTGATATATTTGTTTCTTTCATTTAACGTGGTATGTCTGTGAACTAGCAAGGTGTAGCTAAGCGCAGTGACCTCTATAAACAACTACATTTGAACATTTTTTTGAGAGAGAGAGAGAGAGAACATTATTTACCAGCGATTTTCAAGACCTCCACCACAGTTGTTCACTAAATGGACCTTCCAGCTAGAAAATTACACTGAGATATTTGATTAACTTGTACGTTGTGGAATGTTGTTTAATTTACAACATTATTCCTCTCAATCATTTGTAAACTTATCACTCTTTACATTACTGTTAATGTTTAAGCCATCGTTCCATGATTACCGAAAGCAGTTTAACGTGTTTACTTTGGCTTACCACCTCTTGTGCAGAACTCAGTTGCTTGAAATCACCCAACAAATGCTTAAACTAATCACACAAAACATTGTTTTTTGAGCCAATCAGGAGCGAATCAAAACCAAGTGCGATTTGAGTTACGGTTGCAAGTTACGTTTTTTTTGTTGAATTCTCTAACTGGTTACTAAATTTGGTGTTACAATCGGCATAAAAGAATAGGGCAAACAAGCTGGGTCCTTTTCAAGTGAATCGTGACTGTACTTGCTAAACGGATTGCATGTTTTCCCCCGCGTTTGACACTGATACCGTTTGGCTTCGAGTTTTGATTGGTTCATGGTGATGGTGTATTATTTACGACTTGATAAAGGCCGGATGTGGCTATCTTGGCTCTAGTCACGACGATGGAGTTAATCCACAAAGATGCTGTTCGTCCGAGCTGTGGCGGGTTTTCGTTTAAAAACGCGTAAACCTGAAGAGACGTCTAGCTTACTTAGAACAAAACGTAACAAAAAGAAAATTTCAGCACAAATTGCGCGCAAATTAACTAGAAACTAAAGGGCGCAGGTAAAAATTACGACGTGGAATAGAACGGAGACCAACTACATAAAATGAAAATCAAGAAGAAAGCCTCGGTGACTTACAAACACAATTCATGCTACTGGAGAAAATCTCACTGGAAAAAAGGTTTTCTCCTAAAGAACTTTATTGGGCTGACCAAATGTCTATTTACATAAAATAGCGCAAAACTCAAAAGGTGCTCAATACGGACCACTTTTAAATCGCTTTTTTTTTTTTCACTGACAAGAAGGGTATATCAAAGATATCAGTGTTATAACAGAATTACAAAACAGTAGAGCCATGACCATGGTGTCTTGTCCTCTAACTAAGCCAAGCAATCCGGGAAACAAGCAGGGACGCATCATTTCAGAATTTTAGTTGAGCCAGCATTGTAGTCAGAGACGTTGCTATGCAATAGCGTGTCATTATGACATCACGCTGACATGACAACATTCGGTGTTTTCGCATGAGCTCATAAAATTATCTGATTAGTTTACGTAAAATCGTAAGCCTTTGCGGTCGCTTTTAAGAATGGTTACTTTTGTTAGCACTTGTTTTCGCCGGCTGTGATAGCAACTCATGCCACGAACCAAATAGCTTTCGCTTATACTGTAGACTAGAGTCGCTGAGTTTCTTTTTGACAAAACGCTTCTTTTTACTTTCCGATGCGCTTTCATCCGTTTGACTGTCAATGTCACTGCAGCTAGACTGACGTAAGTCGCTCAGATGCAACATCGGGAACTCGGATGGACTCATTTTTCGTCTTCGTGCTCGTATTTCTCGAAGTAACTCGTAAAAGCATTTATCCACGCCGTCGTACTCTGCGGCAGAAGCTTCGCCGAACGACCAGCCGTATCTTTGCGCCAAATTCTGTCCTTCTCTTTTAGCAACGGTGCGATGCTCCTCCAGGTCGGTTTTGTTTCCAATAAGGAGAAGGGAGGCTGGACCCTGGTTTGCGCGGTCACATGACTCCTCGATCATTTCCTTATAACGCGGAACGGTGATGTAACTTTTCCTGTCGGTAACGGAGTACACGATAACGAAACCATCTCCCGTTTGGAGAAAATTCTCCGTGAGTTTGGACGTTGAGTTCTAAAAAAGGAATATTAAAAAGATCAGCGCCGACTTCAAATTTACTTTTATTTTTTTCAGTAATGATTCCTAGCTTATCAGAAAGCTTCAGAGACTGGGCCACAGGAAACTCAGGTTTTCCAAACAACCGCGAGAAACATCGCCGCAAATATGTGGATACCAGGCCCAACATGGTCTCGTTACAGCAAAAGTTTTTACTCATTAAGTTTTTCGGCTAATGGATAGACTGCAAGCAGTCTCTCTTTTCCTCTAAAATCCGTGGGGAAGAACGCAAAACAAGTAAGAGTCCGGGTGTGACTGTGAGCGTGGCGTGCGAGCTAGTAGCGCACGCCCGCGCTACTAACGGCTCGCGGCATCGCCACTCGCCACTTGCACTTCCGCTCATAGTCACGCTCGCGCGCTTACTTGTTTGCGTTCTTCCTCGCGGATTTTCGAGGAAAAGAGAGACTGCTCGTAGTCTAGCCAGTAGACATCTCTCAGTTCGACATTCGTCTGGCTTAGCTCACTCAAATTTCTTAAAGAAAACAGTAAAGAAAGGCTTACCCTGCAAGCCGTGTCCAATATATCAATGGTGACTTCCTCACCATCTACTCTCACAGTACGGCGATAACAATCCTCTAAAAGGAAAGAAGTCATATCTTCAGGAAACTGAAGCTGCCAAAGGAGCTAGAGTACAACTGTTAGTTTAACCCACGATGGTGCGCCCTCCCCACATCTACACATGATTGCAGGTTACTGTTACGCCAATCACAAAGGATAGAATGGGCACAACCAATGTAATATTAACGCTATTACCTCCACAGCCTCAAATGTAAGTCGTTTCGTCCAAGTCGGGAGACGCCAAGTTCTGAGGACGAACGTGCCAACCCTAAGGGTGACCAACTCTTCTCCTGTTCGTTCACTGGGCGTTTAATTTTCACTGACCCCCTTACCCATCTGTTGCTGTACTTTCGAGTCTTGTTTTTGTTCTTGTTTTATTTTTTGCCATTTACAAATATATTTATAACATATCAATGTATATAAGCCAAGGAAGCCCAGGGAAGCCAATAAGGCTTATGTAAAGGAGTACCATAAAGATACCCAAGACTTAACATGCAAAATAATAAAAATGTTGTCATCGGCACACAAAATGATCATAATTTAGGATAAAAAGTAGTTAAGCAAAACTTAACCCGCGAATGTGCAAAAGCAAAGGGAGGAAAAAAAAGCGAAAAAAGCACACACAAGCACACTAAGAGAAGTGACATATAGAGTCAGTAGAAAGAAGTGATTTACTAGTGGTAAATCACTACTTAAAGCAAAATCTGTTTGAAGAACAAGGAAGTCAGAGTCCAACTGAAGTCAAAAGAACGTTATACTTACCAATGGTAGGATCATATTCCCCAATGAATCGATGGCACAGAAACCTTACCAACAGCGCTGCAAAATAAGGAAATGCGACAATGTTATCACTAGACTCACCAGAATATAATTTCTCTTATAGTATGAATGCGTTGTCAAGCGCTAAAGGTAAAAAAGAGAAGGTGAAAGAAATAATCCATAAACAGAAATTAAAATGACAAATATTTAGCGAAACCAGCAAGATAAAAAATAGTTTACCCCATCAAGTAATAGACACGGCCGTACATTGCGAATATTTTGAGTTGAAAATTGATCAACCCCGGAAAGCTACCCTCATCGACTAATAAGGCCGTATTTCCCGGAAGGCTTCCGATAAAGTGCATAGTCATCTATAAATAACTTGGACAGTTTCTTTTGGTCCGGTTTCATTGAACAATGATTATTCAGTGAATTGATTGATCAATTTGACTCGCTACTTCTGTTCTTGGTGAACGCTAGCAGAGCATTTTTTTTTTATTAATCGTGTTGGAAAGCACGATTCAACATGTCGATCCAATAAAATGCCACTTAATGACGCTACAAACACACAAACGCACTTTTATTTAAGTCAGCGATTAGTTAAATAAGCCATCCTTTAATTTCGTTATCTTCCTTTGGTAATCTCCTTTGAGATTTCCACGAGTGGGTTAAGAAAACCTTCTGGGCGTGTCTCGTATATCCTGTTTCGCCTCAATTTTCTGAATGGGTCATACTTCAATAAGCATGCAGACCTTGCCAGACATGACTACTTCTCATAGCTTCCGTGAGGTGGTCTTGAATTGTGTTTACAGTTAAATATTATTAGTTATTTCAGTACTGTTCACATTTATAATATAAATATATGAACAGCAGTGAAATAACTTAAAAGCGTGCTGTGTTTGAGAGGAACACACTTTGTAACAAAGGAGAAATTGGTTCCGTCTCTGAATTCTCTTTAATCCGCAACTGACTGCTAACGGGTTAAATGACTAAAGAAATTGCAAAATCGGTGAACATGAGATTAATTATCCAACACATACGTATCGCATTTTTCTTAAGACCTTTGGTAATAAAGCTAAGTTGCATATTTGATTGCAAATTTCTCTCTGCTCTGATCCAAGACCTAGAAGTCAAGTACGTTCTCGACAGATGATGATGCCTACCAAAATTAAACAGCAGTTATATTTGCCGGACAATCGATCAATGACCTCGCTAACAACTGCTAATTCCTCTCGGCGATTACATAGTATCAAACGTCTCTTTCATTCCATGGAGGAAATAGTGATATTCCGTCTTAAACCTACACAGAACGGTACTACTGCTGCAATCAGGAAATTACTTTTAATAAGCATCCTCAGTTCTAAGTTACTTCATGCAATAATTCATTTCATGTAAAATGAAAGTGTAAGGCATAACTGAGCTATTTCTAAATTTGCTACACAAAAACTTCCTTTCCCGCGG